TATATATTTGTATAGTTATAATATATATATATATGTGATATATATATATATATATATATATATATATATAAAATATATATGAAGGAATATATAAGAGAATATACATATATCAGAAAACTGGAGTATTTGTGTACCTCCCCTATTGTTTTAACTTGCGTTACGGTTCTCACTCCTTGAAAGCCTTTACTAACTTGGGGCCGGATTCCCAAACTCTACTACCATCAGAGAAGAACCCGGTTGCGTCCCAGTAGGGCCATAACATAATTGGCATCCCCAGCGGGATCCGACCCTTTGTCTAGTATGCTTGACAGGGGTGGTGACGTAGTGGAATCCCCTGTAAATAATTCCCCTGTTTGTAATTATTTGGACGTTGTACGTCCTGTTCGGTGCTCGGTGTGATTTAGTGCAATGTTGGAGAGTGCGGTGTGCTGTGTTGGCGAAGTGCGGGTGCTCGGTGTGCTCGATGAAGTGCAGTATTGGCAAGTGCGGTGCTAGGTGGTGTGTTAGTACAGTGCTGCTAAAGTGAAGCGGTGTATTAAGTGTTCGTGCACCACTTAAGTGACAATTTCGGAGAAAGTGACCATTGAAGATTTGGACGATGTTCAGAACTTTCTGAACAAGGAGGACAGTCTTTCCAGATTGAAATATCTGGGAAAGCAAGAACTGGTGCTGGTGAGTGCCTATCTGGAGATCAAAATACGTGAAAGTGATTCCCGTGTTGAGATCTTGTCAAAAGTTCACAAACATTTGAAGGCCGGGGAGAAACAGGAAAGCGAGGCACATAGTACAAAGAAAAGCGAGGTAGTAGTTGCCACTGAAAAGGAAGATAAAGGTAGTGACGGTGAAATTGATGCGGGTGAACTAAATATAAGTTTTCTAACTGTCAAAATGCGTGCCGTAGAAATAAATCGTGTGATAGAATGGAAGAAATTAGAAATAGAACAGGAATTGAAAGAAAAAGAAATGGAAATGAAGCATTTAGAATTAGAAGAAAAGGAAAAAGAAAGACAAGAAAGGAAAGAAGAGCGAGAAAGAGAAGAAAGAAGAGAAAGAGAGAGAGAAAAACGTGAAAGAGAAGGAAAGAAAACACGAATTAGAAGTATTGTGATTAGGTGGTCGGAGGAAAACAACGGAAAGAAGTGGTTTCGATCCAGTAAGGAACATCAAAATGGTCCCAAAATTCAACGAAAGGGAAGTTTCGAAGTTCTTCGCAGCCTTCGAGAAAGTTGCAGCCTCCTTGGATTGGCCAAAGAAGAATTGGGCCATCATGATACAGTCCGTCTTGACTGGGAAGGCCCAAATCGCCTACTCCACGTTGTCCCTTGATGACTCCTGTGATTACGACAAGGTGAAGAAGGTAGTGCTCATGGCTTACCAATTGGTGCCTGAGGCTTACAGGCAGAAGTTCAGGAACCTGAAAAAGACCTCGGAGCACACGTTCACCGAGTTCGCGACCATCAAGAAACGGCTTTTTCACGAGTGGTGTGCCTCTCGGAAGGTGAAGACAAAAGAAGAACTCGAACAGCTTGTTTTGTTGGAGGATTTTAAGGAATGTCTGTCTGGAGATCTGAAGACATACCTAGAAGAGCAACAGGTAGAGACCTTACGTGCAGCAGCCACTATGGCTGAAGAATACATCCTAATGCATCAATCCTCTACTAGGTATGTCCTTAAGAATTACCCACGTCTGTTTGGCAAACCTCGTCAGGAAGAAGAGAGACCCGTCCCACAAAACGCTATGAAGACGCCCCCAAGTAGTCCCCGAAGGACTAGTCCTAGCAGTCCGAAACACCGTAGTCTAAGGAGGAATGTAGTGTGTTGGACTTGTGGGCAGAAAGGACACATTGCTGCTATGTGCCGAGGCAGAAGAGGTAGCTGTCCACATAGGGAAGTGATGCTGATGGGTTGTGTGACACCACCAGCGGGAACCCAGTCTCTGATGACTAGTCAGGAAAGACCAGGATTGTTTGCCCCTCACACTTCTGGCGGGTATATAACGAGTCATCATACTGGTAGATCAGTAGCAGTGCTCAGAGATAGTGGAGCAGCCCAGTCCCTGATCGTGAGAAACTCGTTACCCGAGGGAGTGAGTGTAGATGGGAGACAAAAGGTTGTCCTGGTTGGGTTTCCTATGACGCGGTACGTTGCCCCCTTGGTGCCGGTACATCTAGACTCACCTTACTTCAGCGGCACATGTGCGTTGGCAGTAGTTGATACCCTGCCTATAGCTGGGATTGACGTAATACTAGCCAACGACTTGGTGACAGGTTGGAGCAACAATCATCTCAAGATTGTGGACGAGTCAGCCGGAACAACAAGAAGGTCTGAGGTAACAGCAGGAATTGGTAATATCAAAGTACAGGCAGACGTACAACAAATTAACTTGTTTAATCCTTCCTCTACCCAACAGATTGACAGCATTCTAATAGGTTCTCCTGATTCTCCTCCCGACAAGAGACATGAGGTTATGGTAACAGAAGCGACTGAGCAAGAGGAGAGGCCTCGTGTACAAGCACCCACAGATACCCAAGAGTCTGGAGTGACGGCGGATGAGTACTTGCGGTATGGCAAAGTATAATATATACTGAACCGGCCAGATATTCCCCAGACGTCAGAGGTATGTGAGGTAGGTGCGCAGGCTCTAGTGCGCTCTTTGATCCAAGCCAGGCTAATGGAGATCGCCAGCTATGGACGTGATAGGCTCATGAAGCGTATTCCTAAATGTTTCTTGGCGGTATTTTGTTTAATTCTTATGTGTATTCTAATTAAGGACCAGTGGACGACCCGACAGATGATGGCTCCTAGGAACGTCGTGAAGAGACCCCAGGGATTAGAGACTTGCACTGTGAGTGTTGCAGTCGAAGAAGGGACCTGGAAGGTGATGATGGATACAGGGAGTGGGAGAAATGATATTATGAGTGACTGTTTCCGACAGGTTGACACCCCCCGCGTGATTGCCGAACCTGGATTCAGCGTTAAACGGAACGTTGGTCGACCTGACGGTGGCAGAGCGAATGCCATCTTCAATGTACAAGCAGCCCTGTTGGGACTAGGTGTGGGCCTAGTAGACGGTTATGCTGTAAGTACTGACTTAACAACTATCGCTGTTACTCCAAATTATCAGACCCCTGTATTCCAGGTTCCCGTCTCCCTGAAGGACGACCGGACCGGTATAAGAAATGCCGTCTGCGACCATCCACCAATGGTGCCACGACACAGGGAGGTGTCGATGCCCCCCACATTGCGCCTGTGCCGATCCTTACTAAAGACACGTGAGATAATTATGCCCCTGATTGCCGTCTCAGTGAGGGTGTGGGAAGTCACATCAGGCAAGCCATTGCCTATAATCTTCAAGTTCTCCTTGTGCCAGAATCTCCCATTAGGGCAGTTTTGCGGACAAGACATCCTCGCCACTCCAGTCCGTTGTTTATGTGAGTCCGTTCGGAGTTGTACCAACGTACTAATTTGGTTTGTTTTCTCTTTTATAGAAACCCAAACCAAATTCTTTTTGGTGGAGAGGTGTTACGGACCCGAGTTCATCGTCGGAGCACGGAGCAGTGACGACAACGCCATCTGTGAGTCCGCTCCCGAAACCCCCTCCAAATGGACGACGCCCTCTAGTGGTAACAGGATATGCCGGCAATAGGCGCTGGATTCCCGTCTTAATTGGCTCGTGGAGTAGTCGCTGCTGACCTCTGGTGAGGTAGTGCTTAGACAGTGAACGCCATCTATGGAGTGAAGAGGTGGACGTTTCTGTCTAAGCTAGTAAGTGATGTTTCCTAGTGGTCCCAGGTAGTGTTCCAGTATACTAATGACGTGTCTGCTTGCAGAGTCGACCTGGGACTGCTATGTTGGATGATGGATCAGTCTACCCAAGGCAGCCAAGGTCTCTTCACCAGTCTGCTTTAAAGAAGCTGTGAGCCACCCCCGGACGAACTCTGTTGAGAGTATAATAGCCTGCCTGAAGAGTGGCAGTGTCGGGAATCGCTATATCCGGGGCTAGCTGGTGGAAGAGACCACCCGCTGGGGTGCTGTATGAGGAGAGTGACCAGCGAGTCACACGAGGCTCCTGGCTAGGGCTCGCAACCCTAGCATCAGTCGTAGAGTGGCCTAAACAGCGAGGCTGATCAGTACCTGCCAGCTACAGGCTGGATTGTGGTTGAAGGCCATCACGACGAAGCATCCAGTGGGACTGTGATTTGGCTGGCCTGTGGCCAGGGTAGATTCGTAGTAGTCATCGTGGATTCATCGTGGGCCACGGAAGAAGGAACCAGGGCTACCCAGAGTGAGCGTGACAGAGTGTCAAGTGTCTTCAGAGGAAGACTAAACGTTATATAATAGTGTAGTAATAATTCCTGCGTCTTTTTACATATGGTGTTGGAATATATATATATATATATATATATATATATATATATATATATATATATATATATGGTGTATAAAGAAAATATATATAAGGAATATACATATATCAGAAATTTAGTGTATTTGTATACCTCCCCTATTGTTTTAACTTGCGTTACGGGGCTCACCCCTTGAAAGCCTCTACTAACTTGGGGCCGGATACCCAAACTCTACTACCATCAGAGAAGAACCCGGTTGCGTCCCAGTAGGGCCGTAACAGAGCACTTGCTATATGTCACAATCTGAGTGGGTTCGGGAACAAACCAGGGCCTCGAACGCTGAATATAAATTCGGTGTGAAGACCCATCCGTTATCTGATATTTATTTACTTGCTACAAAGTTGCAGGAAGAACGACCTAAGTGTGGGAAGGAGTCCGGAATTGTTGATGGTAGTCGAGAGCTGACCTGGCCTTAATTTTCTCCTGGGGGCTGACCTGGCCTTCATCTCCTCCTGGGGGGGCTGACCTGGCCTTCATCTCCACCTGGGGGGCTGACCTGGCCTTCATCTCCACATCGGGGGCTGATCTGGCCTTCATCTTCACCTGGGGGATTGACCTGGCCTGCATTTCCACCTGGGGAGGCTCATCTGGCCTTCATCTCCACCTGGTGGGGTTGACCTGGCCTTCATCTTCAACTGGAGGGCTGACCTGGCCTTCATCTCCTCCTGGGGGGGGGGTGACCTGGTCTTCATCTTCCCCTTGGGGGGGGGCTGCCCTGGCCTTCATCTCCACCTGGGGGGCTGACCTGGCCTTCATCTCCACCTGAGGGGGGCTGACCTGGCTCTCATCTCCACCTGGGGGGCCTGTAATGGCCTTCATCTCCACCTGTGGGGGTCTGATCTGGCCTTCATCTACACCTGGGGGGGCTGACCTGGCCCTCATCTTCACCTGGGGGCTGACTTTGCCTTCATCTCCACCTGGGAGGCTGACCTGGCCATCATCTCCACCTGAGGGGTTGACCTGGCCATCATCTCCTCCTGGAGGGCTGACCTGGCCTTCATCTCCACCTGAGGGGGATGGCCTGGCCTTCATCTTCACCTGGAGGGGGGCTGACCTGGTCTTCATCTCCTCCTGGGGGCTGACCTGGCCTTCCTCTCCTCCTGGTGGGCTGACCTGGCCTTCATCTCCTGGGGGGATGACCTGGCCTTCATTTCCTGGGGGGCTGACCTGGCCTTCATCTCCTCCTGGGGGGCTGACCTGGCCTTCATCTCCTCCTGGGGGGCTGACCTGGCCTTCACCTCCACCTGGGGGGGGCTAACCTGGCCCTCATCTTCACATGCGGGGTTGACCTGGCCTTCACCTCCACCTGCGGGGCTGACCGTGCCTTCATCTCCACCTGGTAGACTGACCTGGCCTTCATCTTCACCTGGGGGGAGGACCTGGCTTTCATTTTCACCTGGGGTGTTGACCAGGCCTTCATCTTAACCTATGGGGAGCTGACCTGGCCTTCATCTCCACCTGAGGGGCTGACTTGGCCTTCATCTGCACTTGGGGGGGTTGACCTGGCCTTCATCTTCACCTAGGTGAGGGGGCTCCTCTGGCCTTCATCTCCACCTGGGGGTTGACCTGGCCTTCATCTCTACCTGGGGGGTTGACCTGGCCTTCATCTCCACCTAAGGGAGGGGGCTCCTCTGGCCTTCATCTCCACCTGGTGGGCTGACCTGGCCTTCATCTCTACCTGGAGAAAAGGGGCTGATCTGGCCTTCATCTGTACCTGGAGAAAGGGGGCTGACCTGGCCTTCATCTCCACTTTGGGGACAGACCTGGCCCTCATCTCCATCTGAGGGGGGGGGGCTGACTTGGCCTTCATCTCCACCTGGGGAGGGGCTGACCTGGCCTTCATCTCCATCTGTTGGTTTGACCTGACCTTCATCTCCACCTGAGGGGGGGCTGACCTGGCCTTCATCTCCCCCTGGTGGGCTGACCTGGCCTTCTTCTCCACCTGGGGGGGACAGACCTGGCCTTCATCTTCACCTGGGGGGGGGGGCTGACCTGGCCTTAATCTTCACCTGGTGGGCTGACCTGGCCATCATCTTCACCTGCGGGGCTGACCTGGCCTTCCTCTTCACTTGGGGGGCTGACCTGACCTTCATCTTCACCTGGGGCTGACTTGGCCATCATCTTCACCTGGGGGGGGGGCTGATCTGGCTTTCATCTTCACCTGTGGGCTGACCTGGCCATATTCTCAAACTGGGGGGGGGGGGCTGACCTGTCCATCATCTCCCCCTGGAGGGGGGAGGGCTGACCTGGCCTTCATCTCCACCTGAGAAGGGGCTGACCTGGCCTTCAACTCCACCTGAGAAGGGGCTGACCTGGCCTTCATCTCCACCTAGGGGGCTGACCTGGCCTTCATCTCCACCTGGTGGGCAGACCTGGCCTTCATCTCCACCTGGGGGGCTGACCTGGCCTTCATCTTCACCTGGGGGGCTGACCTCGCCTTCTTCACCCGGGGAGGCTGACTTGGCCTTCATCTTCACCTGGGGGGCTGACCTGTCCTTCATCTTCACCTGGGGGGCTGACCAGTCCTTCATCTTCACCAGGGGTGTGACCTGGCCTTCATCTTCACCCGGGGGGGGGGGCTGACCTGTCCCTCATTTTCACATGGGAGGGGCTGACCTGTCCTTCATCTTCACTTGTGGGCTGACCTGGCCATTATCTCAAACCGGGGGGCTGACCTGGCCTTCATCTCCACCTGGGGGAGCTCACCTGGCCTTCATCTCCACCTGGGGGGCTGACCTGGCTATCATCTCCACCTGGGGGGCTGACCTGGTCATCATCTTCACCTGGGGGGGGGCTGATCTGGCTATCATCTTCACCTGGGGGGCTGACCAGACCTACATCTCCACCTGGCGGGGGCTGACCTGGCCATCATCTCCTCCTGGGGAGAGGCTGACCTGGCCTTCATCTCCACCTGGGGAGAGGCTGACCTGGCCTTCATCTCTACCTGGGGGGTTGACCTGAACTTCATCTCCACCTGAGAGAGAGGGGGGGGCTGACCTGGCTCTCATTTCCACCTGGGGAGGGGGCTGACATGTCCTTCATCTCCACCTGGGGGGCTGACCTGGCTATCATCTCCACCTGGGGGGCTGACCTGGTCATCATCTTCACCTGGGGGGGGGCTGATCTGGCTATCATCTTCACCTGGGGGGCTGACCAGACCTACATCTCCACCTGGCGGGGGCTGACCTGGCCATCATCTCCTCCTGGGGAGAGGCTGACCTGGCCTTCATCTCCACCTGGGGAGAGGCTGACCTGGCCTTCATCTCCACCTGGGGGGTTGACCTGAACTTCATCTCCACCTGAGAGAGAGGGGGGGCTGACCTGGCTCTCATTTCCACCTGGGGAGGGGGCTGACATGTCCTTCATCTCCACCTGAGGGGGATGGCCTGGCCTGCATCTTCACCTGGAGGGGGGCTGACCTGGCCTTCATCTCCTCCTGGGGGCTGACCTGGGCTTCATCTCATCCTGGTGGGCTGACCTCTCCTTCATCTCCTCCTGGGGGGCTGACCTCTCCTTCATCTCCTCCTGGGGGGCTGACCTGGCCTTCATCTCCTCCTTGGGGGCTGACCTGGCCTTCATCTCCACCTGGGGGGACAGACCTGGCCTTCATCTCCTCCTTGGGGACTGACCTGGCCTTCATCTCCTCCTTGGGGGCTGACCTGGCCTTCATCTCCTCCTTGGGGGCTGACCTGGCCTTCATCTCCTCCTGGGGGGCTGACCTGGCCTTCATCTCCTCCTGGGGGGCTGACCTGGCCTTCATCTCCACCTGGAGGGTTGACTTGGCCTTCATCTCCACCTGGAGGGTTGACTTGGCCTTCATCTCCACCTGAGGGGGGGGGGGGGCTGAACCTGGTCTTCATCTCCACCTGGGGGGCTGGCCTGGCCTTCATCTTCACCTGGTGGGCTGACCTGGCCTTCATCTCCACGTGGGGGGCTGACCTGACCTTCATCTCCACCTGGGGGGACAGACCTGGCCTTCATCTTCACCTGGGTGGGGGGGGGGCTGACCTGGCCTTCATCTTCACCTGGGGGGGCTGACCTGGCCTTCATCTTCACCTGGGATTGGCTGACCTGGCCTTCATCGTCACCTGCGAGGGGCTGACCTGGCCTTCATCTTCACCTGTGGGCTGACCATCATCTCAAACTGGGGGGCTGACCTGGCCTTTATCTGCACCTGGGGGTGCTGATCTGGCCTTTATATCCACTTGGAAGGCTGACCTGGCTATCATCTCCACCTGGGGGGCTGACCTGGCCTTCATCTTCACCCAGGGTGGGGGCTGACATGACCTTCATCTTCACCTGAGGGACTGACCTGGCCTTCCTCTTCACTTGGGGGCTAACCTGGCCTTCATCTTCACCCGGGTGGTGACCTGGCCTTCATCTTCACTTGGGGGGGAAGGCCTGGCCTTCATCTCTTCCTGGGGGCTGACCTGGCCTTCATCTCCTCCTGGGGGGCTGACCTGGCCTTCATCTCCGCCTGGGGGGCTGATTTGGCCTTCATCTCCTCCTGGGGGGCTGACCTGGCCTTCATCTCCTCCTGGGGGGCTGACCTGGCCTTCATCTCCTCCTGGGGGCTGACCTGGCCTTCATCTCCTACTGGGGGGCTGACCTGGCCTTCACCTCCACCTGGGAGGGGGTGACTGTCATGTTCACAGAAAATGGTACCATCCGTTTTCTATGTGCGGCGGCTGAGACGCCAGGAGGAGGTAAACAATAGAGCGTACAGGACGCCCGCCAAGCTTGGTAGCTACTAGTCATGTAATTGTGTATATACGCATTAAAGTCAGTAACCAAGCAATGACTTTATATCAACCCCACAACCAAGACTCAGTAACACACAAACACCACATTGGCGACGAGGATGAACTGGGAACGCAGGTATTTTGTTCAACTTCAAACAAGGAAGGAGCATGCTGTCTCGCCCAGAGGAGGAAGGAGAAGTCGTGCTGTGAGCACCATACCCAATGCTGTGTGCTAACCAATGCTTTGTGCTAAACGATGCTATGTGCTAACCAATGCTATGTGCTAACCAATGCCATTTGCTAACCAATGCTATGTGCTACCCCAAGCATGTGCTGACTCAAGCTGTGTACGAGTAATCTGCGTGCCGACACCGTGTACGAAACGACGCTTTGATGTGTACAAAATCTGATGTTTTGGTTACGAAACGACGCTTCGTGCTACAAAATTCTTCACACTGAATTGACTGCTGTACCAACTGCTGTACCAACTGCTAACTACTGCTGTGCCAACTGCTGACAACTGCTGTGCTGCTGTGAGTAGGAACAACACATGTACACAAGGGCTAGGTAAGACATCAGTTGCTGCTATATTGTGCACTGCTGTGAACTTTTGCATTAAAATGCTTGTGTGCTTTGCAAAATTAAAGTAATTATAGTGAATTCTTGACTAACATATACAGTGCAGTAAGTGTTTAATATTCTGAGGAACATTTTAAGTGATAAGTTTACTTTTATTCAGTAAAAATGGCAAATATACCTCAGTTTCCTGCATTTGATCCTGACTGTGACCAGACAAATCTGTCACAGAGGTGGACCAAATGGTTTAGAAGGTTTGAAAATATGTTGATAGTTTCTGACATCAAAAGTGCTGAAAGAAAGCGTGCCTTTCTACTTCATTATGCAGGTGATCGAGTTTGTGACATCTTTGATACACTGAAAGACACTGGTGGTGCCAAAGATTATGACACTGCCAAAGCCAAACTAACAGAGCATTTCAAACCAAGGCAAAATACTGCAATGGAAATTATGCATTTCAGGAGAGCCAGCCAACTCTCTAATGAAACCGTTGATCAATACCACACACGTCTGCAGGGTTTAGCAGCCCATTGTGAGTTTGCTGATATTGACAAAGAAATCAAACAGCAAATAATTGAAACATGCACATCTACACGTCTTCGTCGAAGAGCTCTAGAACTTGTTGATGATGACAGTTCTCTTACCAAGATACTGGATATGGCTCGTCGAATGGAAGATGCTGTACGTGATGCTCGTGTCATGGAGTGCAGTGCC